CGGCTCACTAGGCTAATCCTCCACCTGCGGTGCTGGCACCCCGGATTCTAGTCCCGATTGGGGCACCAGATTCTGTCCTGGTTGCTCCTCTTCCAGTCCAGCTCTCTGCTGTGGCCTGGGAAGGCAGTGGAGGATGGCCCAAGTGCTTGGGCCCTGCACCCGCATGGGAGACCAGGAGGATGCACCTGGCTCCTGGCTTTGGATCGGCGCAGCACGCCGGCCGCAGCGGCCACGGGGGGTGAACCAACAGAAGGAAGACCTTTCTCTCTGTCTCTCTCTCTCTCACTAACTCTGCCTGTTCAAAAAAAAAAAAAAAACAAAAACAAAAAAAACAAACCCAGAATGTGGTTGCTGGATGTGCTCATTGCTTTAGGGTGCCATTGCTTTTAAGCTGCCCTAGGGCACAAGAACAAGGCAATATAGGTATATCTGTATTAGCATATATGTATATATACAGCCATAATTGTCTGTATTTATCCATTTATATAGACATGTTAAGGTAAACATGAGTTCATACTGAAGTCCCCAATTTTTAATTCAGTATCACGGGGATCACTGGGGTCCTCCTTATCTGTGGCTTCCCCATCTGAAGGTAAGAAACCTAGCTGCAGCCACCTATTATCCATTCACTTATTTATTAAGTTTTAATATATATGAAAAAGCAGTTTCAGAATTGATTACTTGTAATCCACAGGAAGCAAATTTTCTACCTTGTGTACAGATTTTATGTACAGTTTGTTTTGTCATTAGTCTTACAATTCCAAGCCAAACTTTATTTCCCAGAGTTCTTTAGCTACTTTCCTACAAGCCCTTAAAAGCAGTTAAATTAAATGTTTTTGGGGCTGGCGCTGTGGTGCAGTGGGGTAAAGCCCTGGCCTGCAGGGCTGATATCCCATATGGGCACCCATTTGAGTCCCGGCTGCTCCACTTCTGATCCAGTTCTCTGCTGTGGCCTGGGAAAGCAGTAGAAGATGGCCCAAGTCCTTTGGTCCCTGCACCCACTTGGGAGACCCGAAAGAAGCTCCTGGCTTCAAATCAGCTCAGCTCTGACTGTTGAGGTCGTTTTGGGAGTGAACCAGCAGATGGAAGACCTTTCTCTCTCTGGCTCTACCTCTCTCTGTAACTCTGTCTTTCAAATAAATAAAATCTTTTTAAAAAATGTCTGTAATGTAGTTAGAGTCATTTGTCCCAATCCATGTTTCTTCTGGGATGTTTTGACATTCTGGTTTTGTTTGTTTTTGTTTGGTTAGCATTCATTGAGATTCACTCTTTAAATGTGCAGTTCTGTGCTTTGGACAAATATGTAGAATAGTGTGTCAACTGCTTAGTATCATATAGCACAGATCCTGCACCATAAATATTTCCCTGTGCATCCTGCTTGTAGTCAGCCTCCCTCCCTGCCATTGCTAGTGGTGTGTACTTTTGCATTTCCATTGTCATATGAGTGGAATGATACAGTCTTTGAATTTTGCATCCGACTTTTTTCTTGCAGTAAAATAAAATGCATTTAAGATTTATCCATGTTGCCTGAATTAATAGTTAATTCTTTTAAAATTGTTGAATAGTATTCTATTGTATGGATGAGTCATAGTTTGGCTTTCAATTCCTCCATGAAAGGGCTCTGTGGTTGCTTCCTGTTTTTAGCAGTTGTGACTAAAATGATTATAAATGTCCATGGCAGATTTTTGTGTAGACATAAATTTTCATGTCACTTGGTTAAATATCTAAGAGTATAATTACAGGTAGTTTGTGTTTACTTTTAAACTGCTTTTTATTATTTATTTATTTCATTTATTTGAAAGGGAAAATGACAGAAAAGGGGAGAGACAGAGAGAAGGAGATCAACTATCTTCTGGTTCTCTCCCCAAATGACTGTAACAGCCTCAGGCTGGGCCAGGCCAAAGCCAGGAGCCCCAAACTCCATCCGGGTCTCCTACATGGGTGGCAAGTACTTGGGCCATCTTCCATTGCTTTCCCAGGAACAATAACAGGAGCTATTGTGGATCAGCCTGGACTTGAACCAGTGTTCTGATACTGGATGGGGCTTTAAAGGTGGTGGTTTCACCCTTGCACTACCATCCTGCCACCCACTGCCTTTTGGTTCTTGACACAGAGTCATGTGATATGTATATACATATATATATATTTATACATATATATATATTTAAACCTAGCTTCTTTTGAATGGTTTGTGACATTGATCTGTATTGTTGCGGGTGGTCATAGTTCATTCTCCTTGTTGATTAATTCTAATATGTGGACATAGCACAATGCTTTTTCTCCATTCTGCAGAAGCACATTTAGGTAGTTTCTAGTTTGGGAGTATTAGTAGTAATGATGTTTAGCAACATTCATGAACGTGTCTTTTTGTGAACATGGGTATGTGTTTCTCCTAGGTGTGAAACTGCCAGTTCAGCTTCAGCTGATACTGCCTAACAGTTTCCTAGAGAGTAGTTGCTTTCCCACCAACAGTGTGTGTGGATTCCAGTTGCTCTGTATTTTCATAAGTACAATAGATACTCATTTTTTTCTTAGTATTTTTCTCATTGTGGCTTTGATTTACAGTTTGCTGAAGTTGAACACCTTGTAATACATATATTGGTTCTTTGGGCATTAGAGAAACAGAAAATTAAAAACTTCCTTCTGGAGTCTGAAAGCTTTCCAGTTGGAGAAGGTGTGACTTAGAAAAGGCAGTAAAGGAAGCTGCTGCTGGGAATGAGTCATGTTTTAGTTAAGATAAGGAGGTTGAAGTGCATTCTGTGGAGGGGCTGAGATTTAGAGGTGTTAGGTTTCCTGTAGATGGAGAGTTCTGGAGTACCAGGTGAAAAAGAGAGAGGGGAGCAGTGGTAAGTTTTGTTAGAAGAGAGGTGTTACGTGATTAATAGGTAATTACTTACATTTGGTGACCTAGATAGAGGAGTCGAGATAAAAAATTAGTTCCTTTCAAGTTCTGAGTTGACCTGTGGTATGAAATTGCTTCATTAGCTTAGGCCAACACAGGCTTTGATCTCCAGGGAGCTTCATGATTCTTATAGGATAATGGACTGGCTAGAAAATGCTAACAGATATATGAGGCCCTAGAATAGGAAGAGGAAGTCTAATGATATCAATAGTTAGTAGTTTTTTTTTTTTTTTTTTTTTTTTTTTTTTTTTTTTTTTGACAGGCAGAGTGGACAGTGAGAGAGAGACAGAGAGAAAGGTCTTCCTTTTCTGTTGGTTCACCCCTCCATGGCCTCTGCGGCTGGTGTGCTGCAGCCAGCGCACCGCGCTGATCCGAAGCCAGGAGCCAGGTGCTTCTTCTGGTCTCCCATGCGGGTGCAGGGCCCAAGCACTTGGGCCATCCTGCACTGCACTCCTGGGCCACAGCAGAGAGCTGGACTGAAGAGGAGCAACTGGGACAGAATCCGGCGGCCCGACCAGGACTAGAACCCGGGGTGCTGGCGCCACAGGTGGAGGATTAGCCCTATTGAGCCGCGGCGCCGGCCAGTACTTAGTTCTAATTTGTTTCTAGAAAATCTGGACGATTTTCATTGATAACTAGCTACCTTTTTAAGTACTTACAAATTATAAATTGAACAAATTTGTTCTTTTGCATTGCCCAAGGAGGGTGTAAAGTCATTAGTCTGTAGTTTTGAAGACCTATAAAATTTTATATATATTATAAATACATATTATATATGTAATCAAATTTTTAAAAGATATTTACTTATTTATCTGAAAGGCAGAGTTACAGAGAGGCAGAGGCAGAGGCAGAGAGAGAAAGAGAGAGAGAGAGATCTTCCTTTTGCTGGTTCACTCCCCAAATGGCCCCAGTGGCTGGAGCTGGGCCTATCCGAAGCCAGAAGCCAGAAGCCAGGAGCTTCTTCTGGGTCTCCCACATGGGTATGGGGGCCCAAGGACTTGGGCCATCTTCTACTGCTTTCCCAGGCCATAGCAGAGAACTGGACCAGAAGGAGAGCAGCCGGGAATCTAACTTGGCGTCCACATGGGATGCCGGCACTGTAGGCGGTGGCTTTACCTGCTATGCCACAGTACTGGCCCGATAGTTTTATTTTTTTTTTACAGATTACATTTGGCACAGTGTGGGTTCCTTGGAAACTGTTTCTTCATATCTCATTAACTATGGCTCTGAGGTTCTGTGAATTTATAAAATGATTTATAAATTTACAAAACCCTGGGCTGTTGTATATGTAGGTGAAATCATTACTGGGATTTAACTTAAAATTAGATGTATTCAGATGTTTTAAGCAACATGTCTTTAAAAACAAAGAACATGTCTTTCTCATACCTACTACATTGATCTCCAAAAGTATGTGCCTGCAGATATCAAATTGAATTGATGGTTCAGGCAAGTAGAGGTTAACCTGTCTTTAGTATGGTAGTGCATTTGTTAGAGAACAGTGTTAGAGGCAAATTACTGTTTTAACAAAATTACATGGCTTCTAAGGATTAGATTGAATGAGTGTGTGTCTCTTGTCCCTCCCTCATTCTACTGTAAGCAGTAAGGATGCTAGTTTACAGAGTGCTAGACATCATAATGCCTGGGGCGTAGTTGGAGACCTGGGAAGATTTACAATAATCAAACACAAACAGACAGAGTAGCATGAAGAAATTTCAATCCTCCCAGCCTTGCCTACAAACTTAATTAGGCTTATTGGGGCAGAAAATATTTTTTCTCCCCCTGCTTTTTATCTGTTTCTCTTCCACAACCACCTCCTGTCCCAGATTCTCTGTGAAGGGGACATACTTCCAACAAAAGGAGACTTTTTTTTTATTGTTGTTAATCCTAACTTATTTGATTTATTTGGGCATTAGGGAAAGGAGTAATAACAACAAAATTTTTAAGATACTTAAGGGACTCTTATTGTTGGTACCATATTCAGCGAATTCCCAATTTAAAAAATTATACTGTGTTCAGAAAAAAATTAGGTGTTTTTGTGCCTCTATAATTAGATCTTTTAAAATTATTTGTAATTTCATGGGAGCTATTTTTCTTACTGTGTGAAAAATTGTCAGCTTAATTATTGCTTTCTTTACCTTATGTGTATATTTCATGGTGTAATCTGGGAAAATGTATGTGGATGCTTTTCTCTGCCGTTAGCTGTGCAGTGTTGGGCTCCCAATGATGATGGTAGATGATTGGGGGTGGGAGAAGAGGTGGAGTTTCTTCTTATCATCCCTCTTGTGGTCAGTAAGATCATCCAGCAAATGCCTTTCCAAGGATGTGGAATGTATATATAAAGGAAAAGCATAGGATTGCTAAGGGAGTGGTGTGTTGGTGAGGATTTCATTCTCTACTCCATGGAAACGAGGCTTTTGAGCTTTTACTTGTCTGCTGATTTGTCTGGTGATCCAGGTAATCTATAGCAGTCTTTGTTTTCTCAGTCCTGTATGAAATGTAGCAAAATGGTAGAAAATAGCTTCAGTGAAAGGGATATACCTACAATAGGAATAAAATTAAAAGGGAAATGATGTCTTTACATTATTCATAATTGCTTCTTATGGTAGCTCTTAAGGTTTTTATTTTTCATGTTTTAAAAAGCCTAATTTGACCTAAAGAAGATGCTTAGTTTTGAAAACCCATGCCTTAATTGCTTAGCTTGAGAACAAAGGTTTTAACATCTAGCATTGCAGGGGTATCTATTCAGAAGCATCCTTCTGTTACCTTTTTAGAACTGAATAGGCATAACCTCTCTTGCATCTTAGCTAGGGACCTTGAGTTATTATTCTGCGAATTGTGATTTAATTATCTCAAGCTTCAGGATGGTTGTTTCCCTTTGATACCCAAGGGACCATGGTTGGGGTTTGGGGGGCAGGGATTAATCTTACGGTGGGGGAAGGGAGTGTTTTCAGAGTAATGTTCCTGATTTTTTTTTCCCATTTGATGCTCAATTGAAATTAATTCCTATAATCATTGGAAAGGTAATGTCCGTGGTACCCAACATTCTTACTAATTTGAATTGTTTTATCCTTTGTTCAGTTTGTGGTATTTTTGCTCGTCAGCTAGAATGTTGGTTATAAATAAGCAGAAGCTGCTGAACTGCTGTGATGCATCGCAATTGCGTTCTGCTTTTCTCCCACAGTTACATCTGTGAATACAGCAGCAGACACATAGATGTGAAAAGCACAAGTCATATAAAAATGTTAAAGATTTTTTGTTTTTCTCTCCTAAAGGTTTTTTTTTTAATGGTGACATTTTTTCCTTGTGTACAGAAAACCTAGAGTTGTAATTTCTGACATTAAAAAAGTATTTAGTACTATCTGTTTATAAAAGAGAAAGCATTTTGAAGCATGCTATGGACCTTTTATTTAATGTGATTATTTCTATCATAATTAAACTGTCATATTTTGAAAGCTGGCTGACCCCTCAGAAGTATTAACAAATTTAGAAATGCTGATTGAATATTTACATTATGGTATACATGAGATTTATAGTCTAGTAGAGAATATAAAAATCTCATGCATGTGAGGTACCCTTTTTGGTGCTAGTATGTATAAGCATTGGTTATATGTTTATGCAGCGATGTCTAGGTGTTTTACATAAACTACTATATTTAATCCTTATTACAACCCAGTCACAAAATTATCGTCATCCTCTTTTATAGGTGAGGAAGTTTACATTTTCAGATTTACCATGAGTAACAAAACCATGAAGTGATGAAGCCCAGGCCTTTCAGACTGCAAAGCTGTTTCTGCTGCTTCCATTTGAGCTGAGATTAAAGCATGTTTTCACAATGATTTGACATCACAGAAAGGGATGCCAATGGAATGAACAGGAGGCAGGGGTCCCAATCTCTGCCAAAAACTGAGTGATTTGGTACATGGTTTATCATCTGTAAAGCAGGAGGGTTAGACTAGGTAACATATAGTTCAGTTTTGATATGTATGATTCTGTTCAGTATAAAGATTTTTCACGTGTGATTTATGGAAACAAGTCACTTTACTTGAGTTTTTATTATAAATACATTTAATTTACGTTACTGACTTCTTGCTATATTTTTTCTTGGAAGGAGAGATAACTAGAATGTGTAACACCTTCTAACATTGCATCCAGTATACATTTATTTATCAAGATCTTTTTTGTTTGTTAACTCCCCCTCCCCTGGCCCCTGCCCTATTCAGAAAGAAATTCAACAGCAGCCTGGCTACATAGTAAGTAGCTGGAAGTCATTTTTCAAATGAATGAATAAATAATAGACTTACACAGTACATTAGTAAAATATGTAAGTAACTCTAAACTTTTTAACACCAAAAGATTGTTAGGGGCTAGAATTAGCCATCTAAAGTTTTATTTATTTATTTATTTATTTATGTGAGAGGCAGAGAGACAGGCAGATACAGCTCCCACCTGCTGGTTTATTCCCCGAACGCCAGAAACAGCTGGACTGAGGCCAAAGCTGGGAGCCAGGAACTCAATCTCTGTCTCTCACGTGGGTGGCAGGGAACCCAGTACTGGAGCCATCACCACTGCCTCCCAGGATCTACATTAGCAGGAAACTGAAGCCAGAGCCAGGAATTGGACTCGGGCATCCCAGTGTGGGATGTGGGCATTTTAACTGCTAGATCAAATGCCTGCCTCTGTTCATCTGGTTACAGTGATCCTTTAAAGAACTAGTAAATATAAGAATCTTGAAAACCTATGGAACAATCAGGCTTAGTCAAGAAATCTTAAATTTGCTAGAATTTCCTTCTACAAAATTATTGGTAGTATAGAACTTGATAACCACAGGTTTATCTAGTGTTGCATTTAAAACATTTTACTAGAGCATTATTAGGTGCCTTTACTTGGCAAAAAATATAATAACAGTAACATAGTAGCAGAGTTTACATTTATCTTTCAGTTTAAGTATCTTCTCAAATGCAAGCAATTTACAGTGAATAGAAAATATTCAGACAGTTGAGTCTTCAAAGATAGTTCATGAAATGTAACAGTGTTTATGGATAGTCTTTATTTAAGCTTTTTTTTGAGATTTTTTTTTTTTTTTTTTTGACAGGCAGAGTGGACAGTGAGAGAGAGAGACAGAAAGGTCTTCCTTTGCTGTTGGTTCACCCTCCAATGGCCGCCGTGGCTGGCGCGCTGCGGCCGGCGCACCGCGCTGATCCGATGGCAGGAGCCAGGAACCAGGTGCTTTTCCTGGTCTCCCATGGGGTGCAGGGCCCAAGCACCTGGGCCATCCTCCACTGCACTCCCTGGCCACAGCAGAGGGCTGGCCTGGAAGAGGGGCAACCGGGACAGAATCCGGCGCCCCGACCGGGACTAGAACCCGGTGTGCCGGTGCCGCTAGGCGGAGGATTAGCCTAGTGAGCCGCGGCGCCGGCCTTTTTTTTGAGATTTTTAGCAGCTTTGTTGAGTGTATAATAAACTGCATATGTTTAAAGTGTACAATTTGATGAGTTTTGCTGTAGGTATATAATTAACTATCCCTGCAATCGAGAAAATAACTAAAAGTTTAATTGTGCTTTTTAGTAATTTCTCCCTTCGACCTCTTCCTCCTCATCCCCACTGATCTGCTTTTTGTCAATATAGAGTGCTTCTTGCTTTATGTCATTATGTCTTTTTATATAAAAGGACTCATGCAGTATGTACTCTTTTTTTAATATTTATTTATTTATTTGGAAGGCAGAGTTAACAGAGAGGCCAAGGCTGAGGCCGACAGAGATAGAGAGAGGGGGAGGGGAGGGGGGGAGAGCGAGCGAGCGAGCGAGGTCTTCCATCCATTGGTTCACTCCCCAAATGGCTGCAATGGCTGGAGCTGCGCCGTTCCACAGCCAGGAGCCAGGAGCTTCTGGGTCTCCCACATTGGGTGCAGGGGCCCAAGGACTTAGGCCAACTTCTGCTGCTTTCCCAGGCCATAGCAGAGAGCTGGATCAGAAGTGGAGCAGCAGGGACTCGAACTGGCACCCATATGGGATGCTGGCACTGCTGGTGGCTGCTTTACCTGCTATGCTACAGTGCCAGCCCCAGTATATACTCTTTTTTTTTTTTTTTTTTTGGCTTATTTAACTTCACGTAATTATTTTGAAATTTGTCCATGGTATTGTGTATATCAGTAATTCATTTCTTTTTATTCCAGAATAACAACATTCCATATATTAATATGTCACAGTTTATTCATTCAGCTATTGATTGGCATTTGAGTTGTTTCAGACTTTATACTATTAAGTTTGCTTTGGATGTTCATGTACAAGTCATTTATGTACTTAAACTTAATTCTCTAGATGAAATATCTAGGAGTGGACAGCTGGATTGTGTGGTAGGTGTGTGGTTTAACTTTTTAAGAAACTACCAAACTGTTCTCTGAAGTAGCTGTATTATGTTGCCATCAGCAACTTTCAGCCCCACTGATACTTGATAATGTCAGTCTTTTATAATTTCAGCCATTTCAGTGGATGTGTAATGGTATAGTATAACTTTTATGTGTATAACATCTAATGACAAATGATACTAAACGTTTTTATATGCTTATTTACCATTCATGTCTGCTGTGAACTAACTGTTTAGATCTCATTGTTGAATTGTAAGAGCTTATACATTCTGAATATAAGGCCTTTATTAGGTATTTGATTTGGAAATATTTTCTCCTAGTCTGTGGCTTGTATTTTCATTTTCTTAGTTTTCTTTCTTTAAATATCTTTGTTGATATGTAGTTTGTATTTCCATGAGCAGAAGTTTTAAATTTCAAATTCCAATTTACCATTTTTTCTTTTTTATATTGTACTATTGCTATACTTATGAAATATTTGCCTAACCTAAGATCACAAAATTTTTCTCATATTTGCTTCTGTAAGTTTCATAATTTCAGGTTTTACTTTTAGGCCTTTGATAGATTTTGAGGTAGCTTTTGTAAAATAGTACAGGTAAAGATTGAAGCATTTTTTTTTTGCATATGGGTATCTAGATACATCATTTGTTGAAAAGAATATCCTTTCTCCATTTAATTGCTTTTTATACTCTTGCTGAAAATCAGCTGTCCATATTACAGTAATTCAAAAGTTTGCAGGAAATTGAAATATAAGTTTATTTTGTTGCAAAAAATTTTGAAATCAATACATATAATGAAATCTTTAAAAGTTCACAGAAAATATATATCATGTAAAAAACTATGCATGGATTTCAAAATGTTCTTGTACTAAAGTATATTCATCTTTAATTCAGTTTTCCCACAAACTTAAAAAATATATATTTATTTGTTTGAAATATAGAGAGAGACAAGAGAGCTCTCATCTGCTGATTCACTCCCCAGATGCCTGCAGTGGCTCCTGGCTGGCCTGAAGCCCAGGGCCAGCAGATCAATCCAGATCTCTCATGTGAGTGGCAGGAATCTAGTCACGTCAGGAGTGCAGCCTATCAAACTC